GTTTATGAACGGCCCTAGCAAAGGCCATGCTATACTAGCAGTTAGCCAAGTACACAAATACTAGTGTACTCATACCATGGGACTATTATACTAATACTGATACAAAGAATACAAATACAAAGATGGGGTGGAATGCGTTGTCTCTCTCCTCACCTTATTTCATCGTCATGTGTATATAGATATACACGTACGTATTTATAACTGGATTGGCTTTGGCGGTTGTGTATAGAGAAACGTGTTCCAAGAATAACCTCCCAAATCCCATAATACAACCAAAATATCATGTGGAATTCGCCATCGGATTGGAGGCTCACTCTCCCATATATACACACACACACATACATATACCTATAAATATATATTATTTCCAGTACAAATCCCTTGCTATACTCTCTTTCTCCTTGATATATCATAATTCTATATTCACAACTACATGCACATTGCACATTGGTAATTAATGTCTACTAATGCTAGTAGTACTTATGCTACTTTGTCCCACAATAAGTCCAAAGGTAACAATTCCTAGGCGAGTGCTATAATAATTATGTATTTGTCATGCTAATAATGTTGATTAGTGTTGACTAAACTCTTGCTTATGACCTATTATAGAAGAGAGCGATGAAGACTTGTTTACAGTTCCAGACATGGAGTTGGAAGCTCTTCAACCTCCCTCCAACTCCAACAATACGCCGCCGCCGCCGCCGCCGCAAAAGATGGGATATCCCGAAAAACGGCGCAGAGGGCGTAACCCCGTTGACAAGGAACATAAAAGACTCAAGAGGTACCTTTAAGTTCTAGCTTAGCTAGCTAGCTAGATAGATAATACTATTATATAAATATAATTATGATTATTATTGTTAATATCGATCGATCTGTTCGTGAGTTATGTTTTTTTTTTTTCGGCTTCTGAGCAGATTGCTCAGGAATAGGGTCTCGGCCCAAGAAGCCCGAGAAAGAAAAAAGGTTTACGCGGGCGATCTAGAATTAAGAGCTAAACAACTGCAAGAAATCAACTCAAAACTCGAAGAAAACATCTCCACTTTGAACAACGAAAACTCCATGCTTCGTAAGGTGTCACCTCTTTAATCTTTAGTTAATTATTTAATTAAGTAATTTAATCACCTTCTGCTGCAATTAAAAACATTTTATATTTTACAGTTAATTCTACAATTATATTTTAATCTTCATCGCAGCTTCTCATGAACACTAGGCCTAAAGTTGGTCAGAGCATTGAGCCAAAGAACGATGTCCTAAGCGAGCACTAACTGATCTATGTGCGATGTTTTTTTTTTTTTT